AGTTCATTGGACGCCGAGCCATGACAGAGTCCGGCCGCTCACCATGAGACTGCTGGAGGGACAGCGGCTCTTTCTTCTCCGTCTGCAGCTTAGAGTTCAGGTAGCTGGCCAGGTCCATGACCCAGATATGGGGGTTCTCCGGGAACACCCCCTGACTCTTCTCCATCTCCCGCTGGAGGTCCGAGAGGTCCAACTACAGCACAGAGGACCACACAATGATGAGGGTTATACTGCTTACATCGGAGGTCAGACAGAAGGGGAGGACGGAGGTCAGATAGAAGACTGAAGGGAAGGACGGAGGTCAGATAGAAGACTGGAGGGGAGGACGGAGGTCAGGTAGAAGAGTGAAGGGGAGGACAGAGGTCAGGTAGAAGAGTGAAGGGGAGGACGGAGGTCAGGTAGAAGAGGGAAGGGGAGGGCGGAGGTCACATAGAAGACTGAAGGGAAGGACGGAGGTCAGATAGGAGACTGGAGGGGAGGACGGAGGGCAGATAGAAGAGGGAAGGGGAGGGCGGAGGTCACATAGAAGACTGAAGGGAAGGACGGAGGTCAGATAGGAGACTGGAGGGGAGGACGGAGGGCAGATAGAAGAGGGAAGGGGAGGGCGGAGGTCACATAGAAGACTGAAGGGAAGGACGGAGGTCAGATAGGAGACTGGAGGGGAGGACGGAGGGCAGATAGAAGAGGGAAGGGGAGGGCGGAGGTCACATAGAAGACTGAAGGGAAGGACGGAGGTCAGATAGGAGACTGGAGGGGAGGACGGAGGGCAGATAGAAGAGGGAAGGGGAGGGCGGAGGTCACATAGAAGACTGAAGGGAAGGACGGAGGTCAGATAGGAGACTGGAGGGGAGGACGGAGGGCAGATAGAAGAGGGAAGGGGAGGGCGGAGGTCACATAGAAGACTGAAGGGAAGGACGGAGGTCAGATAGGAGACTGGAGGGGAGGACGGAGGGCAGATAGAAGAGGGAAGGGGAGGGCGGAGGTCACATAGAAGACTGAAGGGAAGGACGGAGGTCAGATAGGAGACTGGAGGGGAGGACGGAGGGCAGATAGAAGAGGGAAGGGGAGGGCGGAGGTCACATAGAAGACTGAAGGGAAGGACGGAGGTCAGATAGAAGACTGAAGGGGAGGACGGAGGTCAGATAGGAGACTGAAGGGACAGGAAGTGGGTTACTGGCAGGATCAGGGAAAGGAATGCAGCCTCCACATGTGAGGACAATGGGGGTGTCCCCATGTGATTGGGTGTACAGGGATGTGACCGGCCTTCATACTCACAGAGCGGAGGGCCTCCTCCAGGGTGGGGGACTTGCCCTGAGCCGAGGCCGCACTGCCCCCGGCGCTCTTCCTGGAACTCTTCCCGCTGCTCGGCTTCTTGCTCGGCTGGGGCTCGGAGACGCTCGGGGGAACCTGCTCCTTGTTCTGCTTCTTCATCATCATCTTCTCAAAGCCCAACTCGAAGACCGAGGACTGCACAGGGACTGCGAGGACAGAGGACAGACAGTGAGACCCCGCCCCCCGGGGGAGGGGAGGACGGCTTGGGACACCCTTTACCCCACATTACACAAGACGTCTGAGCTGACGAAAGAATGGAGGCCAAAGAGGAGAATCCCAAACCGGAGGACAGAGGACTGCAACATGTCATTCCGAATGTACTTCCACCTGGTACATACAGCCGGTACCTCTAGGTGGACCATGTAAGGTGACCATGTACATACAGCCGGTACCTCTAGGTGGGCCATGAAAGGTGACCTCAGGTCCATACAGCCGGTACCTCTAGGTGGGCCATGTAAGGTGGCCTCAGGTCCATACAGCCGGTACCTCTAGGTGGGCCATGTAAGGTGACCTCAGATCCATACAGCCGGTACCTCTAGGTGGACCATGTAAGGTGACCTCAGGTCCATACAGCCGGTACCTCTAGGTGGGCCATGTAAGGTGACCTCAGGTCCATACAGCCGGTACCTCTAGGTGGGCCATGAAAGGTGACCTCAGGTCCATACAGCCGGTACCTCTAGGTGGGCCATGTAAGGTGACCTCAGGTCCATACAGCCGGTACCTCTAGGTGGGCCATGTAAGGTGACCTCAGGTCCATACAGCCGGTACCTCTAGGTGG